CTTTGCTTCCTTGCTCTCTTTATAAGATACACATTTGAAATTCCTGACAGAAAAATACCCGGTAGAAGCTAGCAGCTGAGGTCAACGGGGGCCCACACTCATCCAACTCAGTCAGCCTGCCTGGCTCTTCAGAACTGAATTCCCCTTACTGCCCTCTCTCCAGTGACTTCATATCTCACTGTCATTTCCGCTGCCCACAGAGGCACAAACAGTGCAACAAATCAGGGTAATCCAATGTAGCTGGAGAGCTACTGGCAGCCTGTACCAAGCCTGGAAGCCTCTACGCAGCAGATGCCAGCAGAGGCCAGCCTGAATAAGGCAGTCAGAAAAAACTGGGACAAACTTATACTAAGAACGTATTCACTGTTTATCTGAAATTCAAATTTAACCAGGTGTCCTGTACTTTTATTTGCTAAATCTGGGGCAGATGAAGGGGCCTTAGCTGCAGGTCGTGCCAGCCCTGGATGCCACCTGAGAGCCTGCCTAGGTCAGCTCTGCTGCGGCCAGCCAAGAGGCTACAGTATGTCTGTTTCTCTGTTAGAAGTCCCCTCTGGGATCACGGGCTCCCCTCTTTCCTGTTCAAACAGAAGCTACTGTCTGAGGCAAACTCTTTTGCCCTCCCCATCCTAAGAAACAGATTCTCAAGGACCCCAAGGGCAAAGACAACAGGGCATATAGAGTATGCCAATATGCAATGCTGGGCTTCTGCCAGCCCCTCAACCTTTTATTTTTTTTTTAAAGATCTGGCCTTTATCATTGTTAACAGTAAATCAAATGTCCACCCCTTCTTCTCAATGTTTCTCTACAGACTGTGCAGCTCTGCAAGTTTCCTTCTTTGAAGGATCAGTCCTGTTTTATCTAACCCCAGGAGGCACTCCCCTCTACCTTCTTTCAGACTGAATGCCTGTTAAAGGCCCCTAAGTCTGAATCCAGGCATGTGGAGCTGGTACAGAGGATGTGGGGAGGGGGCTGGCACAGGAGGCTGAAGCAAAGAATCTGCTCATTCAAACCTTTGCTGAGCGAGCCATCGTGGGCTAAATACCTAGGAGAGGGCACACGGAAGCTATTTCAAAAATCGAGATTAGGACAAAGAATTTTCCTCCCTTCCTGGGTTAGCCACTTATAACCAACAGTATTTCCACTTAGATGATCCTGGCAAAAAAAGGAAAGAAAGAGCCCACTTAGACTTCTGAACAACTCTGGGATGGGGACTTGATGACCTGGCTATCCCCAGCTACCTAGCACAGCCCAGCACATGCAGGGCTGTAACTGCTGAACTGAACTTAGGCTGACACATCAACACACAGGCCTGTTTAGGCAGGCCCTCCCTGAGCTATAGCCAGTCACAACAGTTACATGTATAACAAGGCAAGGAGAAGCACAGATCACTTGAAAATAATTTTGGAAACATTTTAGTTAGTGGTTTTAAGCTTTTTTCCACCAACCTTTTTAGTTAGAAACAAGTGGCAAGACATTTATTTCCCTCCTGTCCCTGTCCTGTGAGGGATACTAGTATACTATGAAGCTGTCAAAAGATGGGCCGGAGATAGGTGACTTCTGAATTCAACCTACAAAGAATGAAGAACAGGGGACCATCCAGGACCTCAAAACAGCCTCATTTTCCTGCAGGGAGCTACACAATTTCCGCTTAATGAGTTGCTGACTTCCTCCTGATATTCCTGAAATGCAGGCACAAAAGCCTTTTTTTTACTGATATAAAATGAGCATCTTGAAAAATACCATAAAGTGCACATCTCCATTAGGAATTTTATAACGTTTTCTCCCAATTTGCTGGACACAGGGCTCAGTCAATCTCTATGACTGACTGAGGCTAAGTGAGAGTCCAGGCAGGCTGGGGCCTGCCAGCACTCTGGTGGGCCTGGGACAATGCCCCAGCTTGGGGTTTTATTCAGCGTTTGGCATGCCCGAGTCACTTTCTGAGTGACATAATGGAAATGTGGCAGTGATGTGAACTACCTAATGAGCTAGACAAAGGTTCAGATGCCTAATGGAGAAACAATGATTGTGGGGATCAGTGTAAAGCAGTAGGACGTTGGCATATCTGCACGTTATAGTTAAATTAAGTATTAAAGCTTTGGCCAAAACAATTCACTCAAACAGAGCGGGCAGGGGTGAGAATCCAAAGAGTAAATGCTCCTCAATTTTTTTTCCCTCTATATCAGCAAGTGCGGGATTCTGTGGGAAAGTCTATAGTACTGTTCTTCAAGTAACCTAAACCCTCGAATTTAAATGATTCATCAAAAGAATAACAATAGTGGCTGCTCTACTGCCATTACAAGTCTCTAATTAGACTGTAAGTTATTGGAGGGCAGGAGCAGGGCCTACATTCTGGCTTCAGTGTGCGTGGGCATCTCCTGCTCTTTGATGAACGCGTCCAGCTCAGGAGTGATAAAACCAAAGGATTCGCGCTCTGAGAGCTCACTAGTTCCACTTGTTTTCCCTTAGAAGTTAGGCGGCCACGGTTGTTTAAAAAAAAAAAAAAAAAAAAATCAAAGGAACAGAGTCCATGCAATCAAATCCCTAGGCCTCTGAAAGGGACTCAGATCAAGTCAGTACATCCCTCTGAGTGTCTCAGTGAGTTTATTATGAGCCACTCGGAGGCAGGCACTGACCCTGTCAGCCTCCAAGTACGCTTGATTTTGTTAGAAAGATTGGAATCTCATCCTGGGAAGATGAAAGACTACCAGGACCACTTTCTCTCAGTTTCTCTGGGTAAATGGTGAAATCATGGACCAGTATCAAGGGAAAGGATTTAGCTCCCTGACCGAGTGAGCTAAGGATGACTTTTAACCTAATAATCTATCACAGGACCATGATTTCTGGCCACAAGCTGTAAACATGAGTACACGGGAACCTGTTAGATGCTGTGGCCTTCTAAACTCGGCCTCATGTCTCCTGCATCTCTGCACCCAGCAGGCCTTGCTTTACCACAGAATCCGTCGACAGGACAAGCCCTGGGTTTGCTCCATGAGCCTGGCCCAGCCCTTCTGGTATGAACCAAGTTACCTTATTTCTCCTATAAATGTCTCTCGCTACGCAAGTTCTCAAATGCCAACCAGGGACTGCGTTCCTCTCAACTCCACCCAGTTCCCCCTTCAGGGCAGCTTTCCTCTCCCTTCTGTCCAAGGGTAGAGGACCTCATCCCCCTATGCAGGGCTCACGTGCAGCTCTCCTATTTGGAGCTGGCAGAACTGCATGACGCAAGGAAAGGCAAATTCACAATTAATTCTCACAATGAGAATGATGAACAAGAGGTGAGCCAGGGAGCAAATACATATTTAAACACCTTGCGCCTTCTCTCCTTTATGACACTTATATTTCTATCTACAAGATCTAGTATCAAACAAAAAAAGAACCCTAAATCAAACTTTATAAAAAGTCCTCAGAATACTCTTTTTAAGACACTGTTAAAGCAAATTGTTTGCTTTGTTTAAAATATAATCAACACACATAAATTGGGCACAACTTGCTAAATCAAGTCCCCTGCAGTGCTTGCATTCTGAGACTTTCTTAGTAAAGCCCAATTGAAGGTGAATAGATGGGACTAGAGGAGGGAGACAGCCCCTTAGGCTACATCCTTGATAGATATAAGGGGATCCAACTGATGAACAGCAGATGGCCCCATTATCTATCTATTAGCTCTTTACTACAAGGAAAGGCAACAATTAGTATTTTTATAACCAGAGGATTGTGAGGGTAACCATGCCCTGTGACGAGAGTTTCCTCTCTAGAAGCAAAAAAGTACCTTTGGAGACTCTGGGGATCTTAACATCCTCCTGGGAGAGCCCACCTCAGGAGCAGTCCATAAAACCGGTAGAGCCGACCATACCCAATTTCTCGTAGCCCCAGCTGGTCCATTCAGGAACAAACACTCGTCCTCACGTCCTCTCTAGTTCAGTCCAAGGCTTCGGGAGAAACAGGGCCAATGATGGGGGACAACCTCTGCTCAGGGACCACACATCCACGGTGCTGATGTCCAATGTAATGAGACCCATGAGCTGGCCTGGCCAACTGGCTTCATGAGTGGGAAAGGGAAGGAGAGGGGAAGCTGTCCAAGCAGAAGAACCAAGCACCAGAGAAGGGAAAAGAGGGGCTTAGAAGTCCTCTCGAAGAGAAGAGTACACAAGGCCAAGCAGTCGCCTCGCAGTGCTGCAGCTACAGAGGGCTCCCAGGTTTGCCCTCCCTCGAGCTCCAGCTGAGACCCCGACAAGGTTCATTTACTAGGCTATCGTTTCCTAGGCCTATGTTTTCATCTCCAGTGGGATTTCAACAGAACAGCAAACCAAATAATTTGGAGGATGGTCTTGGACCCCCGGACGCCAAGGCCCACCTTGGTGAGGTAAGAGGGAAGAGGACATGGAGTGCTTGGTATTTCACACACAAATCTTAACTTACCAAGGCTGAGACTGGCTTTCACATTCAAATAAAAATGTGAAAAGCAAACTGTGACCCTGCTACAGGGAATGTTATATCTAAATAAAAGCAACTCCCAAAGGCTTCATTTCCTTGCTCATTTTGGGTGAATTTTTAATCATTTAAGGTCAACTTTAACCAAATCACAGATGCCTATATAAGCCTATAATTTTCTGGCCCAAGCACTAGTGAAGACATTTCCTCCCACACAAATAAAAATTTGAACAAAATTTCAAAGGAAAAACAAAACAAAACAATGAAAATAAAAGAATGTGAAAAGAAATACAAATCAAAGAAATTTATTGGTGTTGACAAATATACATAATACAAAAAAACAAAACAAAACTAACACAACAGAAACAAAACCAGAAACTCCCCCCACCCTGGCAGGCCCACAGGCCTGAGGTACTGACAGCGAGCAGCCCCAGGAGCCTCTTGGAGCATCGCACTTAATTCATGAGGACCTCCATCTGCACCAGCCTCGCGTTGGTGTCCCCAGATGTCCGGTAGGGTATCATCCCAGCAAAGGTAATCAGGGCTCGGGCTTGGCTGCGGAGTTGCTGAGAGAAAGGGGAAGAAGAGAAGAGATCCAGTTAACTTCCGGGTCAGGGCACTGTCCTGAGAACCACCACCCTGGCCTTCCATTTTCTACCCCTTGGGGTCAGGGCAGATTCCCGGTGGGTGGATGACAGTCTCACCCTCCACCATCATGTTCCTCCAGCATGGTGCAGAGTTAGCAAAGCTCGGCTGCTGGGGCCTCAGTTCCAAAGCCCTTCTGCTTAGCAAAAGATGGATGGGTGTGCCGGGCAAGCTGCCTCACCTGACACGCCTGACCAGCTGCTGACACGGCCCTGTGCTTCAGACTGCCTGCTCTACTTCTCTGAGCCTCTCTCTCTCTCCTGGCTGGTTTCTGTCCAACTGTTACCATGGGGTCCTGAGTTTCTTTCTAGGACCCTCATGAAGCACCTGCACTACCAGAGGCAACAGTCGTGCCTAAGTGAGGCCCATTCCACCTCTTTCCTCTCCTGCATCTTCCCCTTTCCTTCCTTTCACTCCTTACATTCCTTCCTTCCTGACAGAAGTGCTTGGCCCTCTTTTCTCAGGCAACAATATTTATGAGATTCCTGGATTGCTCCAGGAAGGAAAAAGATTTAAACTCAGGTGTTTCCAACAACAAAAATAGGAACCTTCACTCCAATTTCCAACTGATAAATTACTGAATAAAGAATAAAGACACGTAAGAGAACAGCTTCAGGTTGCCCCACATTGAGGTGTGTTGGATGCTTATACCAGCAGGAAAGGAAACCATATCTGGAATAGAAAAGGAGGGTCTACACACATCTTTTGGATCAGTAATGAGATTTTTAAGAAAAATTCAAGGGTCACTTACTAGGCTTCTTAAGGACCATTCAAGAAGAAAACTGAAAGGTAAGTGCCTTTTACCTGATATGTGAAGTAAATTGGCAAGTAAAGGTCCTAATTAATGTCCAAGCCAAAAGAAATTTACTTTATGATGAGAGTATCCATCAGATTTTCTTTAAAAGTGCAAAAATGTGCATGGGATCTCCTAACTTCTAGCTACTTTACGTAAGCTCTAGGGGTATGCAGGCCAAGGGACACATCCACTCCCTGGCAACACTGCAGCTTAAACCATGAGGCCAATTCTTGGGCAGGCAGCTTTTACACATAAGTCTTTCCTCGACTCCACCCATCCCTTCCTTTCATTACAAAGGAGAGCGGTGGGTAAGAGGAAGACAGGAGAATGGCTTTATCCATCATATGTAAAAACTAAGTGCCTAAAAAAGAGAGACTAAAACACACAGCGTGTGAGTCCAGCTAGTCTTAAATCAGTTCCCTTCAGATGTGGAAAATGGACCTGCCAGGCCACCAGCTCTGCTCTCTGTGAGCAAGCCCTGCTCTGACCTGTAAGCAGTACAGAGAGTATCAGAAACGCCCACCACTTCAGTAGTCGTATTCACAACAGCACTGCTGCCAGGGCCCCAGCACAGCGAGCCCACTGCTGGCACATCTCCTATGTAGGCTCTTGCCTGTCCAAGGGCAGATGGCAGACCTGCAGCTGCCTCTCATGCACACACGGATGGGCCTACCACGTCGGAGGACCACTTCTGAGTACTGCTATGTATGCTGCTAAAGGTGAAAATTCCCACCATCACTCACGAGGCAGAGGTTCTGACAGTGACAATGCCTGTAGGGGTCATAGCAGAGAGAGCCCTCAGATATCCATGGAGGCGGGAGATAGATTTTCAAGGCTCTAGTTTCTTGATTGCCAAAATCAGGTATGGCTGTTGTACACCATACTGAGAGACTCACCAAACAGTAAGTGGAAATGTTAAGGGAAAGGTAATTCTAAAACACTGCCTGTTTTAATGGTTTAATTGGAAGTCCAATGCGCTATCCATTGCACGACGGAATTAATGGTTTAATTGGGTCAAACACCTTTCTTTCCCCTTTTATCAAATCAAATGTACACCATACACTGTTGGAATCCCAGGGTTCTATCTACCTGGACTCTGCATGACCCAAGCAATGCCGGAGGCCCCACAGGCAATGGAAAGGGCACTGGCCTTGGTATCAGACAGACCCGGCTCCCAGACGTGGCTCCTTCACCTACCACCTGAGGGGCCCACAAAAGCAAGACACCTCCTGACCCAGGCCTCAGATCCCTCAACTGTAAAATGGGGATAACGACTGTCCTAGGTACCTCCCTGGAGTCACTGTGAGATGACAGTAGAAACAAGGGTTTGCATCTAATTGTTGACCAAAAGTAACTATGGTTTTCATGAAAGTGCTGAACTGAGACTCATAAAATGACCTTCTATTTTAAAATGGGCTGGAATTCTTGTGGAATCAGTATAAATTAGCATTTTGATTTTTTTAAAGGTGATATTCGCTGACTTAGCACATCTTTGTTTTTTAGCTTGAGAAGAGTAGCAACCCCATTAATGTTCGATTTCTTCCGGGAGCCCCCGACACAAACTTTACCCAGCTGCCAGATAGTAAAGAAACGAGCAATTTAGGGTCATGAGCAGTGGTCTCATGAGGTGCAATGGACAGCAAACCAGAAAGGTGGTTCTCAGCGATGGCTCTGGCCAACCATCTGGCTGGGATCTTACAGAATCACGGTCCTCGATGACTCGCTGGGGCCTGGATGCCGATGATGGACTTGTCCCCTTGAGCCTCTTAAACTGTGTGAACAAGATGTTCATGGTGGCGAGAAGCACTTCTGAGAGGTTGTGCCTGACCTGCACAGAGGGACACACATGAGGTAAGGAGAAAGAACCAAGCCCTGGGGCCAACCACAGGTTGGGGGAGGGGGGAGCAGTGCTCCAGGAAGGCCTGGTCACATCACATCTCCACAGCTGCCAGGTGGAGCGCCACACAGCCACCAAAAAGGAGCTGATGGCATTGAAATGTCAAGCGTGAAAGCAAAGCTCAGGCAATGCTACTCAGAAGGTCAGGTAGGTCACTCTTCTGATCCCTTGTTTATGCCAGTCCTCCTAGGCAGGGGCAGTGAGCAAAAAGCATGCCCACTACGTCTGGCCAGCAAGAGTGATTAGCAAAAGCCTGCATTTGAATGTCAGCAGGCAGGGACGCATACGCTGGTTCTCCAGTCCCTACCACTCCCCACTGTCTCAGGCCCACCAGACTGTCTCCATGGGACCAGCACAGCCCGAGCAGAGTCCTTGGGAGTGTCTGTGAGGACAGGCCCTGGTACAACACTTCAGTCCATGAAACACTGAATGATGTAACCAGGGGAGGGCAAGAATCAACAGAAGGAGTGGCTAGGGGTAGAAATGCAGCAGGTGTGAAGGGATGGTCGGCAAGAGGTAAGACCTCCTGAACTGTGTGTACCACAGCAGGCAGCTGCCTCACCACATGTGCAGAAGCCTGCCTTCCTTCTTCCTCTAGAACAGAAACATGCTTTCATAAAAGGAATGTGCTTACTAATGGTTTTAAATTGAAACACTGTTAGGAACATCCTGGAACCAGGCAGCTGGCCCTCAGTGCCTGCACATGGGAATAACCAGGGGAGTTCTGGGCTGCAGCTCAGATCAGGGAAACCAGAATTTCTGGGCCTGGGCACAAAGATTTTTTTAAAGGTCTCCTAGCAATTCCAGTGTGCAGCCCAGTTGAGCACCCTTGGGCTAAGCAGTGGCAACATGCTAGAAACCCTGCAGAGAGACAGTAGCTCTGGGGCTCTTGGGCTGATAATTGAGTCCATGGTCACTGCACCTGCTTCTTGAGACAAAATGGTTCAGAGAAGGGAAAGAAGGATGTGAATCATGATGCATATTTCATGTACCCAATGGAACTACTTAGACAAGATCAGAGTTAAGCACTGACACACCCTCTAGAACAAGTGCATAGTAAAGAATCAAACCAGATCCCACAGGATCAACAAGAAACCTGTTTCTCCCAAGAATATGTCTGGTCTCTAAAGCGAGTGTATTTTCTGAGTCAGGAACTCAGACTATAATCTGATGGGGATATGTGTACTCACAGAAAAACCAGTCCAGGATACCTGAAATTGGACTCGTCTTAGAAAACTCGGTCTGGATGGTGACTGTAGTAGGACTGTTAAAGTTACTGGCTATGTTAAAACAAAAGCTTTCAGTTAGAAGTGGGGGAAAAAAGAATTTTATAATACAGGAAGAAAAGGACTCACCTCATCACTGAAATTTCTGAAGGCAGCCACTCTCTCTTCCACACTTTCCTGATTCAGGGGCACCAGCTTCAACCGATCAATTATCTATTTAAAACAAAACACATCGGTCCCATATGATACAACCATCACAGTCATTTCATCTCCTCAAACACATAGTCAGCATCTAACACATTCATAGTGGGCTTCTTAATAGGAAATGCTAATCCCCTCATTCAAAGGCTTTGATTCTAACTTGCTGACTGACTCAATTCCTATCCTCGTTTTCTGAGGCAGTTTTACAATTCAGAGATTTCAAATTACTCTGAGAAACCTCTCTGTTTTTAGACTAAAGAAGAAAGGAAGAGAAAAAGGAAAAAAAGAGCAACACAGAAATCCCTTTTATATTCACAGGATCATACTTGTCCTTCTTCACTTAACAAGCATACTGGTGACATTTCCTTTGTTTTAAATGAATCTCACGAAGCGTTTTGATTTTTCAAGGGCATACATTAACCTGCACTTCAAACACCCCTCCTGAAACTTACATCAAAGGCTCTGTCAATATGCCCACTGTGATACTCGTCAAAAAAGGTGATCAAGTCCAACAGAAGATAGAACGTGGAGTCCACAAATTTATTTGCACTGATTCCCTGAGCCCTATACCTGAAGGACAAAAAAGAAGGAAGGGGGGTATATTAGGAATTTCTGTGCAATCTATAACTTGAGGATAGCATCTAAAAAATGTCAAACAAAACCTCTTAAACTCTCTAGATGAAGTGAACTAAGGAGTGGAAAATAGTGTTTCTTTTGAAATGGCCAAGCATTTGATGGTGGGTTTGACAGAAATCCACCTATAAATGTTCTGTGTGAAGCACAGTTCTCTTGCCTCAGCCCCCATCTCAGCAAGCATCTCCAACCCAGTTTTCACTGGGTCACTTTATTAGGCATATCTGCAGAGGGCACAAAAAGTGACAACTATTGCCCCAGCCTGGGAGTTACACTGGTTAAAGTATGATAACTCCTCGAACTCATGGGGAGGAAGGTAGCTTCTGAAACACTGGCCACTACATCTCTAAGAATTTCCCCATCCATCCATCACTAGCTTTGTTCCAAAATGTCTTTGAGATGGCTGCTAATGACATATAGATGAGTATAATGCCTAGAATTAAACCTCATGTACAGGATTAAAATGCTGAGATACCCTTTCATACCCTTCCTTTTGGCAAGAATGTTTACCAAGTTGACAGTGCCAAGTGACAGTTGGTTATGACGTGGGGGAACAGGAACTCTCAAACTGTCAGTGCTGGTGGGAGGGTGAGTGAGTAGAGCCATGCTGGGGAACTCTTTGATGCTACGGTAAAGCTGAAGATGCGTCTGGGTGGGCGCTGGGAGCCCCGGGACCCCCTGGAGCCAGCCCCGGCCTTACCGCTCCGCGACGCAGAGTGCCATGTTCTTCAGCCTCTCCTTGTTGGACTGCGGGGCACTGATCTGGGGGACGACAGGGCTGAGCAGTTTGTTCATCAGCTCCAGAACCTTGTCAGCATTCTGTTCGGTTTTTTAAATTAAGAAAGGAATCAATTAAAAATAATCAATAAGAGGAAAAAAACTAAATAACCGAAACCAAAGAGGGAACTTTTGTTCTGTATCTTGATCTGGGTGGTGATGACACAGATACATACCTGTGGGAAACCCATCAAGCTGTTCACTGAATATGTGTACATTTTTCTACTTTTTAATTAGACCTCAATCAGAACACTTTTAAATGAAAGGAAAAATGAATTATAACCCTCTTTTTGCCCACGTTGGTCAGCTGATAAAAGGAGAGAATGTATTCTTCTTCAGGCCCTAACAGTCATCGGTATTCCCTGCATGTTCTCACAACGAGCTACTTCCTCCAGTTCTCTCAGAACCCCTCAGCTGTGGTTTTGTTCCCTGACACACACCGGGCAGTGTTTGTGCGGCTGCCCGGAGGGTGAGCACCAGGCATCTTCACCAGCAGCTTCACCACCCAAGCGTGATGGGTGCTTCCTCTGCTGCCAAGGGAGGCCTTGCTCAGTGCCCGTGGGACAGCCTTTCAATACGTCACTCTTGTTTGGCCAGGAAGACCTTATGGGCAGAAATAATTCTGTACAATGGGAACTTCACCCTGACTGGACTATTAACTGCCTAAGCACTAGGAGAAAATGCCTCAGCAGGGAGAGGGTACAACAATGGCAGCATCGAAATGCTTGTGCATTTAATGCCACAAGGCCGATGACAGATCTATTAAGTGCAGAAGAAAGAAAAGAGCACATTTTACCTTGGCAAGGTCATAAAGCTTTGCTGCTTCTTCAAACAGTCCTTTATTTTCTGCCACGGAAGCAACTTTGTTGATAATAGGCTTTGTGTCACTAGTAAACTTATCTATGACTCCAGGCTGACAAGACAAATTATGGAGGGGAGGAAGAGAGAAATGGGGGGACAGAGCTGTTATTTTAAACACAGAGAAGCAACTGAGATCCGAAAACTACTTTAACTGAAAATACTTGCCCTGGGCAATTCACATATTTCATCAGCTAGACTCTGGCTTTCTTGAAGATATAAGGTCGTATTAAACATATGAAAAGGACCAAGGAAACTACCCATGAAGAGGCAGACTCAAAGGAAGCACAGGAGTCACCAGTAGGACTGTGCTTTCTAATTTTCCAGAATGACCTAGAGAATCGGTGAAATCATCAGTGATTTTAATTTTGCTGACGAGTAGGCACTAGGGGGAAAGAAACCAGGGGCTCAGAGAAAGTATCTGAAAGATTCTGAATTTGTTTTCTAAGACAGATGGCAAAAGAAATCCAGTCCTGAAAAAATATATGGCAAGTGGTGTCAGGATACTAAAAACAAACAAAAAGAATCTGCATCATCACTCAACAGCAACCAAATGGTCAAGAAAGTATGGGAGAGGCCTGAGGTACTGTGAAGAGAGAGGGCAGACTATGTGACGTCTGACTGGCCATCTGATTCTCCATCAGCCCTGGACCAAGTCGGGTGACCTGCTCCGCCACCCTGGCAGCACAGGAGATCAGTGAAGAGCATGGGCTCTGGGGTCAAGAAGGACTGGGCTCAAATTCCAGCTCACTTCCTTACTAGCTGTGTGATCTTGAGGAAAATAACCTCTCTTGTCTCCACTTCCTCCCTTGAAAAACAGATGACGGTTCCCCCTGTGTTGGGTTCTTGTGATGATTAAGTGAGAAAATACATGTCAAGCATTCAGCACAGGGGCCTGGCAGTTGTCACTGCTCCATAAGCATGGCCACTGTCACCAGCACTGCCACTGTTCTTCTTCTGGATGGTGTGAGCAGTGGGAGGTCATCTTGAGACTGCTGGCTCTAAACCACCCATTTTTACAAATGAGGAAAGTGAGTCCCTAAGAGAGGCATGTGGAGAGTGCCCGAGTGGGTCAGGAGGGGTCTCTGACACCAGGGCCTCTGCCCCTTCTACATTGCCCAATAGCCATGATGGGTCTTAGGGAACTGCTAAGGCTCACGGGAGCAGCTGCATCTCTGGGGTCAGTGTAGAGTTCTGAGCCCTCAAAAACTATCTTTTGAGAGAGGTCAAGTGCATTTGTAACTTTCCCCTCTGGGGAGAGTAAGTGCAGTAACCAATTTCTTTCTTGCATATTTTCTGAGCCAAGAATGGCAGAAATGTAGCCTTCTCAGCTGAAAATATGGCAGGTGTGAACAGATGAGTATTCTGAACATAATAAAAAAACTATCTAACCACAAATTTACATATTTTAAGGAGAAATGTAAATGTATATAAAATCAAGGTCATCATTTGGGGCCTGTAATTTTCATTCTTTGTTTTTAAAACTAAGCAACTTCATTCAGATTTGAGTCTTCAGTACCTTGAATCCTAAAATCTAACTGTATTCTTTGGACAATTATAAACCCCCAACTGCAAACTAACACACCTCTGGGGTGCACTTAACCCACCTTTCTACTTCCATCGTTCTCTAGTTTCCCAAGAATCATATCGAACTGCAGAGACAAAAAAAAGTTTACTCAGTTTATTGGACGAGGATATACACAGAATCCACAATTCTTTGAAGACAAGAGAGGAATAGGGGAGGTGGGAGAAGTCTTGCACAAACTAGAGAACAGTGAGACTGAATCAACGTTTTCATTGTCAGAAACCAAAGAAAACTCTAACACCCCCCTGCCCCCAGCCACATCCACCAAACTCATATTGAGGTGACCATCCAGTATCACATCAGCATGAGAACTTGTACACTGTAAATCATGGGGGCGTGGAGAAAAGTTAACAGACATACCTCTCGACTTTCTATCACCAGCTCGCTCACACAACGCAGAAACATGTTTTCTCCTTGACTGTCTTTCTCGTCTCTAGAAGGGGACAAAATCAACCTGGTTTCTGGTGTGGCCCCAAGGTCTCTGTCATTCTCACAGTGGCAGAAATCAAAACCAGATGAAGTAAATGGTCAAAAGCCAGTCTAACCTGAGGAAGTAGAAGTATTGGAGGGCCTCTCTCGGGTCCGTGGATTCAAACTTCCGGGTGTAGAGAATGAGTAACCGCACGAAGTTCAGCCTCCGCATGCAGGGAGGGTCGCCAGGCTCATGGCTGACTGCACCGACGGGGACAGAACTGCTCACAACCACACTGCCCTTCTACCCATGCAACGGAGAGCTATGGGAACTGAGTCCAAAGACCCAGTGGTGGCACCTACTCCTGCAGCCCAGCCAATGTTTGCCACTGTGAGCTTAGGCCAATCCCCTTCACCACCCTGTCCTCAATTTCATCCCAAGTACAGATTGGAGAAAGTGGCATTTTTAGTAAATCACTAGTACGCTGGTCTCTGAGTGAAAAGATGGTGACAACTGACCATTACGGCATGTGTTCTGGAGTGAATCTGCTGTGCTACTAAGGAAGCTGCAGCCATTCATGCACAGGTATCTTCTCTCCCTCCCCGGACTCCCACCCCATGCAGGTAGGCACACAAGATGGCTGGCTGCGCCTTCCAATGTCTCCAGTTAGAGCCCTAATGGGAACCAGTCTCATGACTCTAGGGACTGTTTCTCCTGTACCACCCTCCAGGCGACCTGACTCACTGGCCACAAAACTAGCACTGAGCAAAGCATTTTATCTATTAAACACCTCAGGGAATACTAATGGAGGCGGGAAAGGCAAGAACCCTCATACTAATCATCTCATAAGCCCAACCGCCTACAACACTCTAAAATGATTGGTACCACTTGCCCAAATCCCTGCTGGCTGCAGCTATGTGTCCACTGCCATCTGATGGGGGGATGTGTTATGGATGTGCCACTGCCAACAAATACTCACGGAGCTGAGCGCTCTGTCCCGAGGATTTTAAAAGCAGCTTTAGCTCAAAGAGCACTAGCGCCACGTGGACAGCATGGCAGCGCAGCCGCTCCATGCGGAAGAGAAAGGCAATGGCAGCTTCGAACTGCGCGGTCAGGAACAGCACTTGGAAGTAGAGGAAGGGCTGATGGTTCACCGTGAAGTGGGACTCACCTGTCCAGGGAGAGGAGGTCAAGCTGACTCAGAAGGAGCCGGCCTCTGCTGGCAGCCCCGAGCCCAGAAGAAGCCCTATGTGCTCAAAGGACTTGCTGGGCAGGACAAAAGCACCAGCCTGAGCCTGAACGGATGCGGGGGCTCTGGACACAGTGGATGCCACTCCAGCCGTGGCCTGTTTCCACAGCCTCCGGACCTCACAAAACAACTGGCGAGCGGGGCTGTGTTGTAAAACCCAAACTGCTTGCATTAGTTGGGAGAGAAACAGAGCACAGGACCTTAAAACGGAATACAAAAGGGGCTGTTTCTCTCCTTTATCCTGATAAAAGTCACTCAATAAGGACACGAATGATTTCAAAGCTTCGGTATTCTCCGATTCACAGATATCTGCGTTCAACACTGCGGACCACTAGTTGGAATCTCCTTTTCTTCCCCCAATTTTTAAACAGTGAGAGAAAGAAAAAATGAAAAGCTATTTCTCCCTTGTTTGTGCTCAGATATAGTCACTGCGAGGTCTCTGAGGAAGCAGTAACCAAGTCCTCTTATGTCTTTCCCTGAGCCAAGTGTCTGCCAAAGCAGTTCAAAGAACTAGTGGAGTTTATGGTCAACGACCATGTAAGTCACATACTCTGTTTACGGCCACGTGCGTGGCCTCTACCCAAATTTGAACTCATTGTTTTGTTGTGTTGTGTTTTGAAGATCCAGAGGGTTCTGAAGGAGAGACAGAGTTCAGAGATGAAGGATTTTCCCAGAAAAAAGCTAAGCAGTGACCTTAGGTGGACAAGAGAGGAAAGGTAGCTATGTTCTGGGTATCTTACCGTAGTCTTCCAACAACTGTTTCTGGAACTGAGAGAGAGTGAGCCTGTCCTGTGGGGAGCTGGTGCCGTCATCATCGAAACACACCTGGTTCAACTAAACGCCCAAGAGAAATACAGGCATTGGTACAAGCTACTTCCTGTGCTGGGTGCGGACTTGTAGCCGATTAGCTGCCATGCTCAAGGCTACGCTAATGGCTGTGTTACTGGTTGCGAATATTACACAATAAAAAATGGGCCAGGAGACAGGAAATCCACTAGTCCAGTCACCCTATTGGCATTATACATTAAGCAGTAACATCTGTGTGCAGTGTGTGAGCAGGGGGAAGGGGAGAATGCCCTACTGGGCAAGGGAAGTAGCGCCTGCCTTCAGCCACAGGTAGTCCTCAGTTTTGTCGGCCACCTCGCTCTGGTTGTCAGTGATGTCACATCTGCCAATGATACAGTACACAGCCCGTTTGTAGGGGTCCGTGTTGTTCCTGAGGGCCCTGCGGTAATGCAGTCGGAGCTTGTTCTCCGTAGCTGGGGACAATCTAGAGACACAAGGAAACACACAGACACATATGCTAAAGATCCTCACGGGCATCTGAAAGTACCCAGGTCCCAACCACACAGCAGAGTCACGAAGCCTTCCTTCACGGAGGGTAACACTGTCCCACCCATACCCACGGGCACCATCACTTTAACCAGACTTGCAGCTACCAAAACCTGCGTCTCCACCCACTGGCTTCCTCAAGTAGTGGCTGTCAGAGGCACGTGAGAAGGTCTGGGGAATTAATCCTCCACCCACCTCCCTGGCAGCCCTCAAGCAGTGATGGGCAAGAGTGAGTCAGTCCCTTAAGTGCCTCAGCCCCGCTCCGGCTTCTCCACTCCCTTATCCCTGTGAGATCACCTCCCAAATAAACTCCATGCACTCAAACCCTTGCCTCAGAGTCTGCATCTGGGGGAACCCTAAAACACTGTCCCTACTTTACACTCTCTAACATGAGCAAGACAGGGCTTATGGTTTAAGATAATCTCTGGACACGGCATTATTGACACTGCCAAAAAAGTAACCCTGGTTTTCCACATGTATAACTGGGGTAACCACCATTATTTCTTCTACATACATGTATGTATATTGAAACTGGGTTCGAATATGAACTTAAGTCCTATTACATTAACAAAAACCAGAGAAAAATGAATGCTTAGCAGTTCCTTAATGCAAGAGAACTAAAAAAAAAAAAAACTTACTGAATTAATTCAATGATTATATCTCAAGTTTGCTAACTTCTAACTCTGGCCTTTGAGTATGAAGCGTATATTGTCATTTGGGTCAACCGGAAAAGCACTAAATGTGAACAAGTGAAGTGTAATACAACAAAGTTTCATTTACTAAAGCATCCTTGATGTGCCTGGGACTTTGTAAGTGTACACATGGTGTCAGAATGGGGCTCTTTTAATGTTTTCAACTGTTATTCTACAGAGTTCTACTTGCTTTCTAAACTTCATTTTTCTCCCAAGCAGAAACTTATTTGGAGCCATGCACAAGGAAAAGAGAGCAACGCCAGTGGGGGCCACCCTGCTGATTCCACGTGGCTTCTTCTGGATGCACCATCTCATTCACTGTACCTTCTGTCCTTGCTGTTCATGTACTCCTGGAACCAAGTTTTAAACTCTCCCAGCTGGTGCTGGGCTCGGTTGACCACCTGTGAAGCGGCAAGCAGGTCTCCACAGCGCAGGCAGTAATAAATTAACGCCCACACAGGATGGCCTTCCACCTCTCCATCCTAAAAGAGGAAAGGTTTAACTGACGACTTTCGATGTGCTGGCCCTCAGCTAAGCCCTCTTCTTGTATTAAGTCACTTAATCTCACAACTCCACTAGGCAGGGACCATGAATGGCCTCTTCCTCTCTGTTTTACAAACTAGGAACCTGAGGCATGGGGATGTTAAATAATTTTCCAAGGTAAGCTGGTAAGCGGCAGTCTGGCTCGAGAGCCTTTCCTCTACAGCACTGTGTACACAGGCTTCAAAGACAGCCAGTGGGTTCTCCGTGGAACCCCAGTACCCACAGCAATCAGGTGACATGTTCTTCTGTGATAATTTACAGATGTGCACTCAGGCTAAGGACGTTCACTGACCAATAAGAGACTATCATCATATTTGAGTTTATAAAATGTTAACCATTAATGATTAGCTAAATGGATTCTGGCACTTCCATTCACCTGTTAGTTGTTCACTCACTTAGTATCTTTGTTTTGGACACCGTGCTACGTTATGCACTGGGGAATCTAAGAAAGCAGCTCTGTTCCCACTCTCCCAGCACTAGAGCTTCTCTCTCCTAAAAGTGGCTTTGCCATCACCTGCGCAGCAGCCCTGTGGTTACTCCTCTCTCTGCTTCTCCCCAACTCCTCCAGAAAAGTGGACCTCAGACTTCCCTTCTTGGCCCCTCCACCCTTCCCTAGGCAGGACTCTTTAAGCCCAGATCTGATCGTGTCACTTCCTCACTTAAACCCCTTTGAGCAATTTACATCCTAAGTGCTTAGCCTGGTGCTCAAGGCCATCACCAGCTGGCCCCAAGCTGGTCCAGCCCTACCACATACCCGATACACCAGATACTCTTTCCTGCCTCCACGCATTTGTTCACGCTCCTCCCTCCTCCTGGAATACCCTTTTCCCAGACCCCTGGCTGGCAAGCCCCTACTCTTTAAGCACAAATGTGGGCCTCACCTCCTGTATGAAGCCAGCAGCCTGCAGCCCACCACCCTTGGTACACAGCTCTGGTTCAGCACCTTGCACAGGGTCTGTATCTGACTGTAACTAGACTGTGAGCTGAGAAGAAAGGCACGTTCTAGGACCCATATCTAACTCTGTTCTTCCAGCTGTTTGAGCCAACAATCTCAGAAGTCAGCCCTGACTCTACCACATCCAAGTTCTTCCACAGTCCTATTGGGTCTACTTTCAAAACATGTCCAGAACCCAATGACATCATGCCCCTGCACCCTCCTCCACCCTAAGCTGAGCGACCACCATAATCACCTGGACTCCTGCACCACCAGTCTCCCAAGGTCTCCTAGCTTCTCTCCCTGCCCCCTCTGGTCTCTTCTCCATATAGTAGGTCCCACACATAACCTCATTTAAACTGAAAACGCCTATCCGAGAGAGACTGCTCTGGGAAGGTAACTCATCACATAGAGAAAGATGCCAATACCTGAAGTCCAGGCAAGGGAGCCGGAAGTTTGATGTTCAGGAAACTTCGAACCAACTGGTAAGTCCCAGGCACCCCGCCCAGCTGGGCCTGATGCAAGTTGCCAAAGACAGTCACAAGGGTATAATTCTTATAACTGGAAAAAATTTACAGGCAAAGAAAGGGAGGTTGAAAACACATATTACATGTATCTATGTCCATATCCACAAACATTAGACTGTGAACTCCACAGGGAAGGGCCTGGATTTCAACCTAACATAGAAGAGGAAACAGTGCATGCTTAATGAAGCAAACTACATTATTTATTCATTGGGCAGTGGACCACTGTGAAGATTTCTCATCACTGCGGATACTCAAAAGAATCCCTGGAGCAATATAATAGTGGACTTCAAATGCATTAAGGGCTAATGTGCAGAATAATAATTGCTCCAGCTCACAGCCTAATGCTCTACTGGGATCTTTTCAAATTTTTCATTTCGAAAAATTTTAAACCTAAAAAAATGAATAGTCCAAAGAATGCTCATATATCCTTTACTTAGATTCGCTAATTGTTAACATTTGTATGATGTTTTTTTCTCTATATATATACGTAGATATACAACATATACAAACACACATACTTTTTTTCTGAACCATTTGAAAATGTTATAGAAATATAGAAATCAGGGGCTACCTCATCTGTAAATACTTCACCATGTATCTCCTAGTTAGGACATTCTACCTAACTCAATACTACCATGACACTAAGAAATTTAACATTAATATACTGTTACTATCTAAAATATAACACATATTCAAATTTCTTAATAACATCCTTTATAGTTTTTTTTTTTTAAAAATCCAGGATCCAGTCAAGGGAATGCATGAAATTTCGCTGTCATACCACTTCCATTTCCCTTAATCTAGGGTAATTCTAACACTTTTTATATAAAGACACTGACCTTTTAAAAAGAATCCAGGCTACTAGCTACCTGGTAAAATGTCCCACAAGCTGAATAGTTTCTCATGACTTGATTCAGGTTCAACTTTTTTGCCAAGAACCCTACCTACACAGCTGATGCTGGTACTGCCACAATGAGGCAGGTAATACCATTTTGCCCTTCTTGGTAACATTTAATTTGATCACTTGGTTAAAGGTGTTGTCCACCAGATTTCACCACTGTCAAAGCACCTCCTTTCCCCTTTGTAATTAATAAGTACTCTATGGGGTAATACTTGGAGGTCATGTGAATAATCTGTTCACCAATAATCTTTCACCCAATAGTTTCCACTGGTGGTCCTTGCTGAACCCATTGTCACATTGGTGGTTGCAAATGATTTTCTATCATTTCCTGTTTATTTATTTGCTAGCAGGCTTCTTAAAATCCTTTACGGTGTTTTAAAATTGCTTTTATATTAAGATTAAATGGTTCAAGTTATAGATACCCAAACATGGGGTTAATACATTGAAGAACTTTCTAAATATGTTTCTTGTCCAAAACAAAACAGACTGCCTCAAAAAGTCAGGTGCTTCATATGTTCAACCACATAATAATATTAATATTATACCACATTAAGTATAATAACCAACTGAGAGAGACAGGGTGAGAGTGAGAGAGAGAAAAAGAGAGAGACACACACAGAGAAAAACACCTAACTATCAATTACAGAAAATAGACTCAATGGAAATTGATGTAGTCATAAAAAATGATACTGACAAAAAATTTTAAAAGCAAACTGTATAAAACCATATATTGTACACATTTGGATCATAAGCTGTGTAAAAGATACATATCAAACAAAATATTTGTATGTCCAAAAAGGCGGCAGGGGTGGTATGGGGGTAAGGAAATACAACAAGGTGCCAGGGGCCTCTGGGCGGGGGAGAGGGGACTTCTCCCTTTTTCAGGTCCTCTTTTTGGCATCTTCCAAAATTTCTGTAACAGTCATGTAGTATTTTCATAATGAAAAATGAACACAATTCAATTTAGCAAATGTAATGAGTTCGCCATCACTGGAAGTATTTAAAAGCAGAGGTTGGGAAAGAGATTACAGAAGAGTCCTGTAGCAATCAGGACAAACAGATGCCCACTATGGTCTCTTCAAACTCGAATGATGACAACTCACATGCTGGAAAGGGCCTCAGAGCCTAAATTCCTTGAGAGCTAAGAAATGTGTACCTTGCTTCAAATTTGGAATGTGGCAGGAAACAGAACAATGCTATGTTTTCTCAACATTTTCAGCCTTATACCCCAAAAATAATTTGGGACTAGGTCTACTTTGCCACCTGGTGTATTACATCACTTGAAATACTGTATGTACGTTACACTGTCAGTGGATTAGCATTAGAAAAAATATATTTTTTAGTGAGTACAATTATCTGAAATATTCCCTTTATCAAAAGAGACAACAAATCTTAAAAAGGATGCCATCAGAGAGTGATGCTACTAGAGTGAAAAAGAAAATAAGCATACAATAGTTGTGCACAGGAAACTCCCAAAGAGCTCCAAGTGCTGCTAAAGGAATTAATGGAACAACATCATTCCAAAAAAACTAAATGAAAAGAATAATAAAAGAAATGGGATAGCTTACATATATAAAACCAAAAACTGCAGCCTGGTACCACTGGTGAAGTCAAGCAACAACGTTAAGGATGAGGTTTATTGAAGAAAAAGCAGTCACGAGCAGTCATATACGTACACACGTTAAAAACTAAAATCCTCATGTTTTTTATAAACTGTAAGAACTTCTGACTCATATTTTGCTGACTTGTAGCAAATAAATATCACTATATACATTAGGTTCTTTATGGCTGAAGACTTAGAAATTTACATTACAAAAATTTAGTGAAAGCCTGATATAATACTTTATGAACTCTTTGTGCCCTGTGCCAGAAGCAATAAAAAACCATTTGGAGTTCCAGATTTTTCTTAACAACAGAATGGAGGCTAGCGAGTTTAATATGTCTGATGGTGTTCATCTCGTGTAGCCATTATATAATTAATTTAGTATTTGGTATAAAAACCTGTTCTCTCTCTGCTGTACCAGGTCTGAATTACCTTGACTTCCTAATGAACTATATTATTTTGTTGACAGAGGGTGACCACACTACAAGGCCATTGGCAGCTGCATGGGCTCAGAAGCAAAGAACTGCAATTGAGCAAGTGTATTCAGCTTGGCTTTCTCTTCTCAAGCTAACAGAGAGAGGCCCAGCACCCTGTCTCTGAAATAAAGAGGGTCTGTTGCACGCTCACGACAACCCCTGCTGGCCAATTCAGAACAAGAAGTGTCCACAGGGAGTGGATGAATGGCACGGGCCCTACCAACGAGGGGGACAATAGTTAGGGCACAAGGGCACAGCCACAAACCCCTTGGTGACCAACTCCAATTAGTGAGGAGATGGCAAAAAAAACCCAGGCACAAATCAGAGGCATTAGCAGCCGGGAAGGATCTGGACTCACAAGGATTAACCAAGTAGAGCCAGAAGGAAAACAAAGGATCAAGGGGCCTTCCTAAGGTTTGAAGGTGGTAATACTGGGTGGGAAAATTAAAATGCCTAGAGAAAACAAAGAGCCTAAGCAGTAATGGCTGAACCACAGGAGGGACAAGGATCCTGACCCAAGGCATCGTGCTCTAATAATCATGACTCTGTACTGAGGGACAGAGAGTGGACAAAGAGAAAAAGAAAAGCCTAACAGTGCTCAATGCTCCCACTCAAAATGATTTTATATCGGTGCATAAATAGTTCTGGTAGAGAAGTGTTTCTGAAAACAGCCTAACACCTCTCAGACTTGCTCAACCTTGTTTAAATTATACCAGCTACAAAGCACTTAGCTTGAGGACTACTTGAAACCCAAGAATGGCTGCCTTCGGGGGATTTTAAAGCCAGCCTCTGTGCTGCCGTTGCCTTACCTCTGCTCGAGGTATCCCAAGGCCTGCCTGACGAACTCCATGCGCACTTCCACGCTGTTGCGGCTCTTCAGGGCATCAGTCGCTGGTGTCAACAACACGTCTGTCATTTGTTTTACCATGGTCCACATGTCAGAGATGTTCTGCACATAAATGAGACTGCATGTGACAATGCTGTGGGGCCGGGGAAATTGCCTCGTTCTTCAGGGCAATCTGACTCAAAGGCAGGCGGGGCATGGAGCGGGAAGAGGTTAACGTCCTGTCTGAGGCCCTCAGGCTCAAGCCCAGCACAGAAGACGCACCTCTTCCCAGCCAGCTGCCAGGCTCCCGTCTTCCCTGCGAGCAGCCCCCACCTCGAGCTGGTTTTCAGATCAATTACTATTCCAGGTCTGACATAACCACCTACATAACTAAGACCACATAAAACTAACAAGAACACTGAATCTCAGTCGGTTATCCCTTAAGAGAGAGTGAATACATTTATAATCATCCAAATCTCTAGGAGTTTAAACTCAAGTAGCTGCATTTCAGTCCTTACAAGGTCACTGGAGTTTTTTAAGGCTTAAAATAAGAGTTTAACCTAAATAATACAGGTTCTGTCCTCCCAGAGGCTCTCCAGGGTCCACTGCTCTTACCCCACCGTGTGAGTGGCACAGCCTCCTTTTCTCCTGACTATTCACTCCCTTCAAAAGATGCCTTCCTGTGGCCTCCCAGGAAAGGCACTGGTGATCTCTCCTGTGTGTTACCACCACACAGCTGGACTCCCTCTTCCCAGAATCCTCCTGGCTGTAAACCTCTCCTAAAAATGTGTTCCCTGAACGCTGTGCAAAATATAAAGTTAAGAATCCTTGGAAGACAGTAGCAATTAGAGAAAAAGCAGGTTTACACCTTTTCCAAAGGAAAAGAGAAAATCCTGTTTTCACTGTTTCTCTCAAAAATTAAAAACTGTAGAAAATCCACCCTAAATGTGACCCTTTTTAGGTGGTGAGATGGTAGATAAATTCTTATTTTCTTTAGATTGGTTTGTATTGCCTTATATTTACTATTAAAAAAAAAATAAAGCATTTTTGAAGGAAAAAAAATTGTGTACGAGTGCTTGCTTCCGTTATAGCCTTTCCTCCTTTCTCCCCTCCTCCTGGACACCTACCAATCTATCCATCCCCTTTTTAATTTTTTTCCCCCAGCGGGAGAAAATTGGCCAAGGATAAGAACTGAGGGACAGGAATAAAGATGGGGAGTCAGAGAGGAACAGAACCAAGTGGCTTTTAAAGACCCCACCTGAGTCAAGTTCAAGGGGCTCACTGGTGTGAAAACCGCATCACCTTTACAATTCACATCTCATGAAAGAGCCTGTTAGTCTGTCTAAGGAGGGAAACTGGCAGGGAGGAGCTGGAGCCTGACAGAACTTCAAAGCAAACACAACTTTGCTGGGCCTTTTGCAGATGCATAAAGATACATATATCTATATATATAGGATCATCATCAAAAAACCACCCCAAGGGCTTCCCTGGTGGCGCAGTGGTTGGGAGTCGGCCTGCCGATGCAGGGGACGTGGGTTCGTGCCCCGGCCTGGGAGGATCCCACATGCCGCGGAGTGGCTGGGCCCGTGAGCCATGGCCGCTGAGCCTGTGCGTCTGGAGCCTGTGCCCAGCAACGGGGGAGGCCACGGCAGTGAGAGGCCCGTGTACCACAAAAAACAAAAACAAAAACAAAAAACCACCCCAAAATTATTTAAAATAAAACTCTGAAGAACAGTTAACATCTTCTTCCAGGGCATAGAGTTTCTCTTCAGCACATTTCTGCCAAGTCAGCAAGCTGCTAATCCCATTGGAACACCAGACCCCACACGTCTCCTCAGGTCAGCTCTGGGCGCTACCTTATCATCCAGCTCTGTGACGGAAGCACAGAGGTCCACAAGGTTAGGCTGCAGGTGTCCGTTGACAATCTTCTCGTTATAGATATATATCTGAAAGGAAAAGCAAAGTAAATCGCACAAATTCTATTTTCACCTTTTCTTTTTAGAACCCCTTGAAGCAGTTCTGAAACCAGCTTCTGCCCAATGGTCAGAAGCTTTCCTTCCTCAGAGTGGCTGAGCTATCCACACTGCCTGGAGGGCAAGGCCTCCGGCCAGCTTCCCAGTTCTGTGCCTAAGCTTCAGACAGCAGCATCGACACCCACGAAAGCTAGCCGCTAGCCCAGCCTTCCTAACATCTGAGGAGTGGGAGCAGGGTGGTCCCGGGGGTGGGGGGTGGGGGAGTCCCACGGGCAGTTCTGCATTGCTCTGCCCAGCAGACCATCAGTCCCAGAGAGCAAGGACCAAAGTGGAAGGTCTCCTGCTGCTGCTTCCTAGGAACCCAGGGAAACATTTGGTAATCTTTCTGGCAAAAGGACTGAATGGCCCCAGGCCCAGGGCTTGTGGACTTAGTAAGGACTGTCAGGTCGCAGCCCTCCACATGTTTTATAAGAGCAGTTGCTGCCCATCTGCAGTACCCATTTCTCCGGAAAGAATCCCAGCTCCTTAGTAAAATTTTCTCAAGAAAAAGGAACTATGTGACGTTCAACGAATGGAAAAGCCAATATTACTTTGGATTTTATTTTTAAAAAACTAACATAATGATGGTAAAAACTATTAAGTTCTACTCATTGCATCTGAAGTCCTTGCTCTACCGAGGACTGAACAAGGTAGTGATGTTAGACAAGTCAGGACCCTGTCAAACCTTACCTCCCTCCACTCTAAATGGGGGAGAGCATCATGCAGCCTCCAGGAGTGTTATAAAGATTAAATGAAACGGTTTTTAAACCAGAACGTGGTGTTTATTCACTCATGAGCATTTATGAGGAGCCTTCCCTGGGTTACTGTGTTCAACATGGGATATGAAGATTCGCTCTCCACTGGAGGGGATAGCCATGTAAACAGATACATGACATTCCAGTGTCCTGAGTGCTAGTAAACCTTAGTTTTATGAAGTTTTAGTCTTCACAGACACAGAAGATACATGGTTTCTCTCCTCAAAAGCTTGTAATTTCATTAGGTCTGAATTCTGACGGTGCCTGTGGCAATGGAAGTCAGTCACATAATGAAAGTGAAATTTTAAAAAATGTAGATGTAGTGTGGGAGAAAAAGATCTAAAAACTGAAGAAAAAATAAATGAAGGCCCAGTAGTAAAACATGAGGGAGTTGGAAGGAGGGGGACTTATGTGAGGGAAGCTGATGTGGCTGGTTTCAGATGCCTAGAGTTAGACCTGGCAGTGGTACGCTGAAGGAGAGAGGCTTAAAAAGAGCATTTAGAACATTTTTCTCAACAAGGGGTACAAGAAGGATCTCTGATAATCCCATCAGCTCACCAAATAATTCAGTTACGGCATCCCTCTGTCAAAGGCACAGGGTCTAGCAGTTTCTCCCCTCCCCCTGTTCACCTCTATAGCCACCACGTGTTTTTGTCTCCACCTACCCCACCCCACCCCAACCCAGGTTGGACGGAAGAAAGGAATTGGGTGATGCTGAGGGCCACAGTGGCACCGATTGCGGGAGGGCTTCCCTGGTGGCGCAGTGGTTAAGAATCCGCCTGCCAGTGCAGGGGACATGGGTTTGATCCCTGGCCCGGGAAGATCCCACATGCTGTGGAGCAACTAAGCCCGTGCGTCACAACTACTGAGCCTGCGCTCTAGAGCTTGTGCTCCGCGACAAGAGAAGCCACGGCAATGAGAAGCCCGTGCACTGCAAGAAGAGTAGCCCCTGCTTGCCTCAACTAGAGAAAGCCATGCACAGCAATGAAGACCCAACACAGCCAAAATAAAAAAATAAAAAACAAATGAATAAATAAATTTATTAAAAAAGAAAAAGAATCGCAGGAGTTGGTCACGACAGAACAGATGTTCCTTGGTCACTGCTGGTGCAGGACAATTTAAAGGGGATGGAAGCCCACCACCCTCAATTCAAGAAACAAGACTGTTTCCCCTTCTTGATACTTTGTGCAGCAAAGCAGCAAATTAGAATAAAATACACAGGTGGCCAGCACTGCTTTATTCAAAAAGTCAATTCCAGGTATGTACTGTCCTAAGGGCAGTTTCAGTCAACAGAGTCCCTGAGCTTTACCACAAAGTGTCTCAATCCATACTCAAACTATCGCATGGTCATGATATACCACAAGAACCACAACCCCCCAAATATCATAAGCTTCTCCAGGACAGTAATATCAGGTAATGGTGAGTACATTATGCTTACCAAGGCAGAAAAGCATTCAGAAAATTTCTCTCTACAACGGGGTTAAGAAGCATTTCTGATAATACCATTCGCCGACCAGGTGATCAGTTAATACAGAACTCCATTTACTTAGCAGTGCAGTTACTCAAAGCTTTACTGTACATGGGCTGTTGCCAAATGCAAAATGAGATGCCTTGGTCAGTGTGTGAGGCAGATTTCAATTTCCTTAAATCAAACCTGAGTCATTCTATTACCCAATTTGATAGACTTCTCCAGGGACCTAGATGGTAAAATATTAACGCGTCCTCTGAATGAAAACCCAACTTGTTTTCAGGGTTGGACTTTCACATGAAGTCTGTGTTCTCTTTTACTTCCCAGCGGGCTCATAGAGGATTTTCCTGGATTTGATCTTCCTTGAGAACACACTCACCTGCCGGGCATAGGCCATCTCGATGCTGTCCAGAGAGCTTCGACCAGGGGGTCCCGCATCACTGATGTAACTTGGCTGTACAGAAATACACATTCAGAATTGGTTCAGAACAGCATTCAGTCATGTAAAGAAAAAAACAACAACTATAAACATATGTTTGTCTTTAACAAAGCTGTTTCTGTTTCCTAGTCAGACTTCCTCAAAACGATGATTTTTAGGGGCTTCAATAGAAGGCAACTCTCTTACCATGATCACATGAGAAGGGAGCAGGCATGGGACTCAACTCAAAAATAACAGGAGGCTGGAGAAGCTGTAAGGATATCTCAGTAACTGTTTCTGGAAAGGCACCTCTTTGTAACATTCGGTTTCAATCCCCCAGTCCACCTCATCTTCCCCCTCCATGTCTTTACACCAGTGAGGCTGTGGTGTATGTGGGTCTCCCGTTTCCATCACTCATATCAGATAGCTGAGGAAATGGAGTTTATAGGGTCACAATACCAGGATTCAGACATGTCCAATCTAGAGTCCACACTAAGACAACAGCTACTGATGAACTTTATGCATCTGAAGATATGAAGCCAGCCTAAGTTGGGCATTCATTCATTCAGCAAACATCTGCCAAGTGCCTGCCTGCCACATGCACAGTGTGTACACATCCATCCCCACAGGATGACAAGACAGCCCACAGAGGCTGTTCCCAAAGAGCTTACCATCTGATGGGGAGAGTTAGACACCAACATATGGAAAAAATTATTAGCCTTTTTTAAGAAAGACTAAAGATAATTTTTAGCTAAGTTTATTTCCTACTGTAAAAAAATATGGATCAAAATCAGGTATGTTCCAATTAGGTATATTAGGCATATTCTTAAATTTCCAATATTAGTTTGTACTGTACTGCAGCAAAGATCAAATTCTTCAAGCTTCTCTCATTTAAAAAAAAAAAAAAAAAAGCAATGCTCTATTCTCTAAAATCTAAAACAAAGCAGCTTAAAGTAGGTTTCCTGGGAGACACATGACAGATAGCAGCAAAACTTCCTAGCACCACCAAAGCTGGTAAAAGGGATACCAACATGAGCATGCACTGGGGCAGGACAGAGAATAGGAAGAAGCAGGAAGCAGAAAGGTGGGTTGTAAACCCTCAGGTTCTGGAATGAACACTGGACGGTCAGGACACGTGGGTTCCAGGAGGACTGCTCCACTCCCTTGCTTTGGCGTCTGGGCAAAGCACATATCCTTGGAGCCTCAGGTTCCCTTTGGTTGATGAAGGGGCTGTCCTAGACAATCTCGAGAGGTCCTCCCCAGCTCTGATTTTCTGCAATCATTGGTATTAAAAGAGCTTTAAACAGTTTACTGTTCAAAATATCGAATTTGATCTCACTACAGTACAGTAAAAACCAATGTATTGGAAATTTAAGAATATAACTAATATACCTAGTAGAATACACCTAATTTTGATCCATACTTGTTTATAGTAGGGAATAAGCTTAGCTAAAGGTTAACTTTAGTCTTTCTAAAAAATGGACTAATAAACTTTTCCATATGTTGGCATCTTACTCTCTCCATCAAATGGTAAGCTTGGAAGATGCTGCTGCTTCTGACCATTTGGGCTGACCCAATGACCATTTCACATCCCTACCTCTCACTTCTACTCACTGCCACTTCCCACTCTGGCATATGGAGTTAAATATATCCAATGGTGTGCTGGTAAATGTTTAACAACTGGCTTGGGAAAGGGAACTTGACTTGTAGCGTTTGCTGGTTTCTGGTGTAAATATTCCCACCATGGCAGAAATCAAGCTATTCCAAGTAGTATCAACTAGACGGCAAATTTCCTGAAACTCTAACAATAGGTCCTCATGAGCTGACCCCTACACACTACCCTTTCCCAGCCTCTACTGCAGCTAGGAGTGGCCATGAACCCTGGTTCTAGCCAACCGGATGAAAGCACAAGCCTGGTAGTACATTCTGGCTTAGTGCAGTTTCTGCTTTTCCTGATAAAGGGAGAAAAAAGAGCCTGGCATGGCCTTTCAGCTTTCTCCCCTGAATGCAAACAGGTTGTCTAGAGCTGCAGCAATCAGCTTGTGAGCCCAAAGTAAGTGTCCGTGCTAAAAATGGTGGTATACAGAGACAAGGAGGTGCCTCTGATGGCACTGCAGAGCTACTGAATTAAGGCCCATACTCTCCACACCTGCAGACTTGTTAGGTGAGAAAAATAAATCGCTATTCAACCTACAAAAACTCAAGTTTTCTGTTACTCACAGCTGAAAGCATTCCTATCTGAAATGATTGAAAACCATCAGGTTATAGTAACAACAGACACGCTTACTGAGTAACTACTATATGCCAAGCACTGTCTTAATTTCTGTGTATTAACTCCACAACCCTATGAGATACATACTTTTATTATAACAATTTTACAGATGAAGACACCAAAGCGCACAGAAAGCACCTTGCCAGAGGTCACTCTAATAGGAAGTAGTGGAGCCGTGGTTTGTGCCCACAGCCTGGGGCCACACTGCCAGCCAGGGCAGCCTGGGGCAACTGTCCAAGGATGGCCATCGAAGAACAAGAGAGAGTAGCAGTTAGAAATCCTGGCTCCACTACTCACTAGCTATGTGATCTTGATTGAGTATATTGCTTCTTTTGAGCCTGGGTTTCTTTAGCTGTAACACAGGTGCAGCAATGGTATCTCCCTCATAGATTTGTGAAATAATCTTAAATTAAATGGGAAGAAAACAGTACTTATTTCACAAGGAGTAAGTAGGAATAAGTAGAAAGAGCTCACTGTCCAACATTTGACCAGTAAACGCTAGCTGTTACCACTTTTTAAATAAAAAATAAACCATAATGAACATGGGACTAAATCAGATGTTGAACAGTGGATAGATATGGACACTACAGAAACATAATCTAAGATATTTTCTTTGTGCTGGCTGGAAATTCTCATCTCACTCCTCTACAACGAAAACACATTCTTGTAGGAAAAGAATCCCCCACCAGCTCATTTTCTATTTCTGGACTAATTCTGAGTGTTCCCAGTAACACTGCATTTGAGGACTGTTCTATAATGTGGCCATCTTTCTGGAACAGAACTCTCTGAAAGTTGATGATTCCCGAGTCTTTTGAAAGAACAGAGCACTAAGCCTGTTAATTCCAGTAACCTAACTGGGGGGAATAAATGGGGAGGAGAGGGGGAATGGCACTAAACACTTCTGCAAGGACACAGTTGTTTCAGCTAAATATACATAAACAGCCTTGAGAAATATTTTCCAGTACTACTAAAAACCTAATTTTAAAAAGTAGTTCGTTTTTTGGCCTTCAAATTTCCATTTAAATTAATTTTGCCTAATGCTCTTGTTTTCAAACGTGCCTTTCCTTCATTTGCCCTTGGCCGAGCCTCTATTTCACCACACACAAAGTCAGTTATCCATCAACAGGATGTGTACATGCACATTCCTGAGCAGAGGAACCAGCAAACATTCAATGGAATTTCAAAGCCAGGAGCTGCTAGAGGGCTGGGAAAGGAGACTCCGGTATGCTGTGTGGGAATAACGTTCCAAACTCTTCAGGTTTTCTCTGTATTGGGGCCTGATCGGAGCACAGTGGGGATAACAGGAGCACAGAATCAGAGACCAGAAAGGCAGGGAAGATGGGTAGGCAGGGCCAGAGAGAACAACAAGGGGCTCACCCAGGCGTCTGGAGATAATGTGGAGAAACAGCAGTCTCTGGGAGCACAGACATGAGAAGGGTCTTCTCAGTGTACCTGGTGTTCCCCAAACAGCCATTTTCTAAGTGAACATTCCTGAACAGGCAGGATGTGGTTGGAGAGTGGTAGGAGGGAACTGCAAGCTTTTATTAAGCAACTACTTTTGTACATAACATATCCAGGGATGAATAAATCTATTTTCCCAAGGAGAGCACATTCTAGGCAGGGAAAAAGGAATGTAGCACTCACTTCTAGCAAAACAAGTACAGAGTAAAAAGAAAATGTGATGATACTACAGAAGGAAGAGAGTTTTTAATTTCCAAGTGGAATGTTTTGGCTTTATGTAAGCAAAACAGAACCAAAGTAATTAATGTACAATAGTTGGCTACAGTATCTGTACACAGAAGCCCAGTACTACCAGAAAAAACACCGACTGGGCACCAGAAGACCCAGGTTCTAAACGCAACCCAACTGTGTGACCTTGGGTAATGACATCTAACTTTTCTGGAGCATCATTCTCCATGGATAAAACGGGAAGAATACTTGGGTCATTTATACAATGAAATCTATTACGGCCACTAAAAAATGACAGACACCTACATGTACTAACCTAGAAAAAGCTCCAAAATAAGTTAAAAAAAATCAAAACATAATGCTAAGTAGTATCATTTATTATATAAAATGGTGCCGTTTATGGAGTAAATTGATAATAAACTGATCAGATGGACATATACGTATAAATGTGCACATAAATACCTGAGAGGGAACTGGAAGGATAGAATGTCAGAGGTTATGTTTGGGTTGGGGGTAGAGGAGAGCAGCTGAATTTTCACAATCTCTATCTCTATCTCTACCAGTAGAATGCTGTGCAAGAAGAAGGTGTTCATGTGATATATCCTGATGTCAAAATGAAGGGCCCGTTGAGTTGGGTTCTTTAAACTTCTTTTTGAAAGAGCAGCTGAGCACTTTCTATACTTGAAATCCTACTCAAATTCCAATACATGAAACAAATTAGGAAACTACCAGGGAGCCATAAAATACAGCTTGGAATCATCTAGTCTGGGGTTTTCAAACTCATACTGTCAGTCTATATTTTTACTGTATTCCATCAAATCTAATACACCATCAACTGCAAGGCATCATGTTATTTATGTACCATTAGGAAAGAAAAATGCGGACAAACTATGACACACCACTGAATTTAAGGCGTATCCTGATTTCAGAGATGTTAAAATATAGAAAAGATGTGTAACTGGGAATTGGTGAAATATGGTATTAAGTCAGTGATCAAAATTAGAGACTACATTCAACACACACTGTTCACACATCACATCATTATCTGTAATGATTAAGCTACAACTTAGCTTCT